TCCTTTGTTGAGAGTTTTTTCAACAATGTAGCTAGAACTCTCTTTTCTTTTTCTTTCGGTGGCATCTTCACAATTTATTTGGTGAGTACAATTTCCACTTCTATTAGCTCCATATTTATAGGTCATAGCACTTAAAGTTGTCTTCTTTTAGCCTCAGGGCTACCGAGGCCTCTTTAGATGATGCAATTTATAAATTATTGATAAGCGATATTTAATTCTATTGGGTTAATTATCTTCACGACCAGGTAGAATTATGTTCCTAATATCTCGAGATGATGGATCTGTGGTATCCTGACCCGACTATCTCTACCAAATTAGGATTACTCAACCTCTCCTTATTTGAGGCCTTTTGAGCCATGCCTTCTTTTTATGACTTCATTAGTGTCATCTCGTGGGGCCCAACTGCGGATAAGATGCCGCCCATTTAAGATACAGTGATTCCCCTCTGCCCTTATGGCCCAATTAGGCCCTGAAAGCATAGTGTGGACATTATGAGACGATGTGGTTATTTCGTAAGCCTCGTATGCTAATGAGTCGCTACCCAATTGAGATGTGAGAGATTCACTCTATGCCCTTGACCCCCACCCACAATTATGCAGTTATTTAGTCTCCAGGCTAAAAACCTGACCTGGTTTCTTCAGGCGGCTAGTGTGGAAAATAAATATGATATAAAATTTAAAATTAATTTATATTTCACATACTATGGGTTCTACGCAAGTATACGCATCATTTCAAGTAATATAGAACTTTCTTTAAAAACCCTTGTATCGATCCCACATGGAAGCGAGGTGAGAAATCTCTTAGGCTAATTCTAGTCTAATATTAGGCCTATGTTTGGAATTTTTGAAAAGTTTGATTTTCCTACATTTCCTAATTTACTATAAAATTAAAGTTAACTAAATTGAATAAAAATCTAATCTAAAGAGAATGGTTAAATTTTGGAAATTTATTATATAATAAAAATCCCTTTCCCCTTGCAATGATATCATAATAAGTGTAGAAATTGAATGATTAAAGGTTAAAATGTGGTTTTGTGAAAAAAAGGAGCATGTCTATTCTTTACCCTCTGCCGAGTGCATAAAGAACATTGGTCAATCTAAAGTTAAGTTCTTGATTGTATGGTTGGGCTAAGTAGATTTTAGTCTCTTACTTCCAGATTACCCATTGTGCCCTCTCTATATGAACAACCAGGGACTCAGGTTCTGAACAAAAACCAAATTGATAAATGTTCTAGCCTGTCACTCTAGAATAAAAAATTATACGCTCATCAAATATTATCTCTCTATCTATTTGCACTCCCCTTTGGATGTGGCATCCCCTCAATCCAAGGTTTAGTGTGGTACTTACTAGTTGGGTGAATCATAGCCCTCCCGGGCCATTATGTTTTGCAATGAATTTTAACATTACAAGTGATTAGTTTGTAAAGAAAATTAAGAACCAGTGAAAATACCATCACAAATTTGGAATAAAATAAATCTTCAAACCATTCTAATCCCACACATGATTAAATCTCATCATAAGGAGAAAGAATAAGGAAACTACTCACTAAGCATGGAGAAGACTGTTGACCTCACTTTTGGTTGAGGTCTGGAAAA